TCTTCTAAACTGGGCCCCGAAGGTTGAGCAGGAGTTTGCCGGACAGGAGAAAAGGCAAAGGGAGGAGGATGGGCACAGGCTGGATGAAATGTGGTCTGTGCTGGCACAAGGAGTCCACTGGGCAGCCAAGGAAGTGATGAGGGCAAAAGGGCAGGGGTTAGTGGCCAGCACACACAGGGCTTTCAAAGGAGAATGTCTGAGAAAAACAACACTTGAAGGTGGAAACTTGAGTCCTTGGGGCTGGCCTACAGGGTCAGGTTAGCAGACAGAAACCTGGTATTTGGGGTAGAAAGGAAACACTGCTGGAAAGCTGTATGGCTTCAGATGTGACCAAGCCTTCCTTGATCTTAAGTAGAAGCCTGATCCAGTTCTGAGGAAACCACTGAGTGGGAAGAGAAAGGAATTCTCAAGTCCTAGACCCATAAGAAGGGATGGTTGTGGTGTTCACCAGCAGCATTTGGGATTAATTACCAAACTTGGCTGTTCAGTCAGAAAGCAGATGATGCCCATGTCCAGGAGGGATGAAGAGCTTGAACTGGGAGATGCGTTAGGAGTTTGGCTCTGACAAGTCATGCTTCCTCTCTGGAAGATGGAGATAACAACAGTGCCCCACTCAGGACTAAATGAGAGGGTGTCTTGGAGAATATCTGGCACAAAGGAGGAGAAGCCACAACTGTTACTGGAACAAGGCAGTTCTAGCATATCCCAGAGGCAAGGCCCTGGCCAAGGTTGTGTTTCTAGGGGAAGTATCAATCTCTTCTGGACACTGCTGGCAGAGTGAGCTTTGTACTGCATAGATGTGATCCAGAATCTGCTCCTTAACCTTCTATGGTTCCCTACTGCCCTCTAGAGAAAGCCTACATTCTTTAACTTGAACAATAAGGCCCTGCATGATCAGGCACCCATGGCCTTTCCCATCCTCACCTGAGACCTGTTACTGCTTCCCTGACCGTCCCTGAGAACCCCCCCACCCCGAACTCCCAGCACCTTTAGCTTCTTAGTGCTCAGCTATCTAGCTTGTTTTCACTTATCTGCCTTCCTCACAAGGCTATGAGTGGAGAACTCAATAAATATCTGCTGAATGAATGAATGAAAGGGGGGGCAGTTCTAAGAAAAAAGGGGTCACTGTACACTGGCCAAATGCCTTGACAAGTATCTATCTCAGCAGCGTAGGAATTATCAGTAACCATAATTCATGGATGAGGAAACTGAGGCTAAGGTAATCTCACTGCCTGACACTTAAATTCCTGAGCATCCACGGGTGAGGCAGGCACTGTGCTGGGCACTCACAGATGGTATCTGTGTGCCAGCTAAGAGCAACAGATACAAGGCCAAGCACACCAGGTGACAGTTAAGGCCCTGAGACCTTGCAGAAGAGCTTAAACTTTTGGACTTCAGTTTTTCACAGGGCTGCTGAAGGGTTAAAGGAACTAATGTGTGCCAAGTACCCAGCATGGTGTCCAGTATACAGCATAGACTTCGCAAGTATTTGATTCTAATCTTTGTCTTATGGTTGGGAGACACAGGCCCAGAAAAGTTCCCTGAGCTAAGACAAGGAGGGTAGGACAGAGCCCTGTCCCTTCTTCCCTGACTTCAAGAGCCAGTGTCCTTGTGAGAATATGTGGTCCTGTGGGTCCCCTCAACCCAGAACTGACCCACAGGAGGTGCTTGGCCAGAACCTGCTAGATGCGGAGGCCCCAGAGGGGGGCTGTTGTAGTTGAGACCACTGCAGTCAAGTTCTACTTAAGAGGCAGGAAGAGACCCCTGATGTCACCCCAGGGAAGTCCAAGAGGTTTTATCTGGGGTTCCAGCCTCCCCAAGGCCCATCAGTATACCGTTCATTCCAGCTGCCTGTCCCCCTTTGGCCCCTACTTCTTTCTCTTGGGGGCTGGGACGTTGGAAAGAGGGTTTCCTGTAGGGCAGTGATGTCCAGAGATCAGCTCTGGGAGTAACCATTATCCCAGCACGTCTTCATACCTTAGCACCTTTATTTAACTGTCCTTTCTGGAGGCCTGGGGCTTCCTGAGGCAGGCATCTCATCCTTGTTTTCCCAGCACCCAGCGTATCGCCCAGAATGCAGGAAATGGTTGCCGAATGAAGCAATGAATTACATTTCAGGATTCATCAGGTGCTTAGTTAGTCTGTACAGGCCCCTAAAACTTACCTTTACCTTAGAGAAACCTCACGCCACCCTGTGCATTAGAAGCCACAGATGAGGAAACTGAGGCTTGGGGCTATTAAGTGACTGGCTCAAGGCCAAACAGGGGCAGCTGTGAGGCCCTCAGGATGGTCTGTGGGAAAGTAAAAGGTTGAGAGGAGCCTTGATGAATTGGGGCAATTGGCAGGGTGTAATTGTCAGTCAGAAATGCTTAACTCAAATTATTAGGTGTGAAGAAGGGAACAGTCAAAGCTTCCCCACTGAATTGCCCAGAAGGGGTTGGCAGGAGTTTCTCCTTAGCAGAACAAGGGCTGGTCCCTGTAGGGCGGGACCCTGGGGTGTAGACCCAGCTTTTCTCTGGCTGGTCCTAGTGCACAGAACACTGCCAACCTTACTTTGCACTTGGGAACCTTCAGAGTACCTCAGAGGCCCCCTGGGGTCATAGTTGGAGGGGGGGCATTACTCTGGGTCCAGGGGGGGAATCTACCCTTCAAGAAAGTCTGCTTGCTGTCTTGGCAGGGCCTGCATCCCAGCACTTACGGTGTGCTAAGCCTGTGTTTACTTGTGTGCCTCCATGGTTGGTCTGTGGGCCTTGGAGAGTAGGAGGTTAGGGGCATCCTGAGCTCCTAGCCTATTCGGACCAATCTCGGGGTGAAGGACGGGAAAGGCTGAAGGGTGGAGTTTAGGGATCCCCGTGCCAATACCGTGTAGGGCAAGGCCAAAAGTGGCCTTTCTCCCAAGTGGGTTCACGGCTAACAGATAGAAGGGCTGCGGGTAAACACTCCACTGGGGCAATAATTATGCACATTTACTAAGCCCAGGGAGGAATGGTGGTCACGTGGCTCTCGAGGGCGGTGCCCTCAGCTTTGAGATGGAGTTAACTCTAATCACAGAAGGCTTTCTGGAGGAGGCGGGATTTTTATGGCGGTAGATCGTGGTTTTCTCTGAACAGCGAGGATGCCCTTAGCATTTTTGGTAACAGCTAGCTGCCGCGGTGAGCTTTTTGCCGGGGTACAGGCCCAGGGGGCGACGGAGTCAGACCGAATTGGGGGAAGGGCCTAGGGGGCCGGAGTCCCGGGGTGAGGCTGGGTTTGGGTTCCTTGACCTGTCCTTGCACCGCCTTTGATGATTGGACGCATCGCGGCCGCTCTAGGCCAGGGCTGTGGGGCCCGGGGCGCTGGGTGCAGGCCTCGAGGTCCAAGGCGCCCTGGGAGCAGACAGCACGGGGCCGAAGATTAGGCGGTTAGACCTTGCTGGGCCAGCCCGGCGGTCCGCCCTCTCAACGCAGTTCCGCCGGGGTCCCGAAGCCCGGCTCGCAGGGGCGAGGCGCGCGCTCCCGGGGGATCAGGGCTGCGGAGCCGGCGGCCTGCGCTGGGCGGCTGTGGCACGAGAGGGCCATCTGCCTGGGTGCGGAGAACTGCAGCGTCCGCGGTGCGAGGCGCGGCCCCTCCGGGCCCCCAGCCCGCGTCCCCTGCCCCGCGCGCACACACCTACTGACGCCCGCCCGCGCCCGCGGCCCGAGTCCCGGTGCCAGGCCCAGACCCAGACTAGGCGCGGGAGGCGGTGCAGGGATTAGTGGACCCCTCCCCCCAGCGCGCCCCTCGCCCCGCCCGAGGCAGCGAGGACCCCTGGGCCCGGGGGTGGTGAGGGAGCTTCGTCCCGGCGGTGCCCGGGCTGGGGACACGGCCTCACAGGGCGGGGGCCGCACGGCGGCAGGTCGAGGTGCGGGCGCGCTGTCAGGCTGCTGCCCGGCTCCGGTGCGGGGGGTGGGCTCAGCGCGGGGGTCGCCTGGCCTCATCCCCCGGCCGAGGCCACGGCCGGGCAAGCAGTGCCCGGGCGGGTAACCCGACCCGACCCGGCTCCCGGTCGCCGCTCACCCCGCAAGGCCGGGCAGGGGGAGGGAGAGAAATGGGGGGGAGGGGGAAGGGAAAGGGTGGTGGGTGAGGGGCTGTGGGGACCGCAGGGCCGAGTCCCCGGCCTGTCTGCGCTGCTCTAGGGCGGCTGCCTGTGTTGCCCGGGACGAGCCAGCCCCCTGCCTCGCGGGCGTCGGGCCTGCGGCAGGAGGGAGCCCTGAGGCTGCACAAGCTTGGCTCGGGGAGGCAGACCCGAGCTGCTGCCTCCATTTTGTTTCCTGCTCAGCTTGGTCTGTGGTGGTGGTGGTGTGGGTTTGGGGTGCGGCCGGGCAGGGGGTTCACCTGCGGCCGCGCCTGCTCGGGGCCTGAGGCCTCGAAGACCCCAGCCCAAGCCCCCAGGTGAGCCCCGCGGTAGGAGGGGGGGTTGCCTTGGCCTCGGGCCGAGCCGAGCGGGCTGAGGGCAGGTGCCCAGTGGATGGGGAGCCGGGCTGTAACCTAAGATGGAGGTCGGGACTGACGCGGGCCCGAGCGGGGCTGGCGGGGCGGTCGGACAGGCCTCAGCCGGGCCAGGTGCCGCCGGGGTTGGGGCTCGAGTTGGGTAGGGTGCAGGAGCCGTGTGCAGCTCGGGGCCGGCGCAGCGCCCCGAGGTAGGTGAGGGGATCTGAGTGCCACCCACGACGCCCGCAGGCCCAGACACTCCGGGGAGGCGCGCGAGGCCCCTGGGGAGCCTGCCTCAGGCCCCGCCCGGGCAGTCGGGCCGGCCCGTAGGCCCGGGCCGCGAGCGGGCGCGCAAGGGGAGGGGAGGGGGCGGCAGCGGCGGCTCCGCTGATTGGGCGGCGCGCTCGCGAGCCCGACTTCACCCGCCCTGAACCCCGAAGAGTGAGGCGAGGGAGCGCGCGCGCGGTGGGGGAAGGGGTGCGCGCGCACTCGGTGCCCCAGCCGCACGCGGGCCGGCGCGAGGCGCTGGGTCGCACGCGCCGCCGCGGGGGCGCGCGCGGTGGGGGTGTGAGGAGGAGGAGGCGGCGGCGGAATAGGCCGGGGCAGGTCGCGCTCGCTGCCTTCTCCCCTGAAGAGAGACGCGGGGGGAGGGGGGTGCGGCGAGCGGCTCCGCTCTCTCCCCAAGGCTCCGCTCGCGCCCCAGTGTAATGAGGGTCACCCCCTCCCCCCAGCCGGCCCGGGAGGGGGCGCGGGGCACGGTAACTAGTGCGCTGGGGCGGGTGGCGGGCAGGCGCGAGGAGGAGGGAGGAGGTGGCCGGGCGGGGAAGATGGTGGTGGCCGTGAGGTGAGGGGCGCGGGGGAGGGCCGGGTGCGGCGCGGTGTTGGTGGCCCGCGGCGTTGTAGCCGCGGGCCCCCTCCCCCTCCATCACTACCAGCCGGGCTCAGGCCTAGCCGGCCCGGCCGCCGCGAACTTCCTCCCGGCGCGGCCCTTGCCCCGCCGGCCTCCCGCGCGCACCACGGCCTCCGCCTCCCCTCAGGTAGCCGGCTGGTGGGCGCGGGGCCGGCTGCCCTCCTGCAGCAAACTTTGCTTGCTGCTTAATATTGATGAGTGCGATCGGCTCGGCCAGGAGGTGCTGCCGCGGCTGCGGGAAGGAGCGCGGCCCGGGCAGGCGGCGGCGGCGTCGGCAGCAGCCATGTTTGTCAAGCTGTAGCAGCTGCTGCTGCCCTGACTCGGCTTCACCGGCTGCCTCCGTTTCTCTCCCCCTGCCGCGTCCCGGCCTCTGGGCCCTGCAGCCGTGGACTGAGCAGTCCTGCAGTCTGGAAGGCGAGGTTCGGGGTGCACCCGCTTCGGCCGACTCGCCTGCGGCCTGGGCACGGCCGCTGCAAGGGCTTCAGCGCCGGCTGGGCGCAGGGTGCAGCGCTATTGTGACCGCTGCGCCCGAGCGAGCCAGGAAGGAGGGGGGGTAACCTTTTTGTGCAGCGTCCGGGAGCCCCCCTCGAGCCCTACAGCCCCCTCCCTTTTGGAGATCCGGCCGCTGGACACCCCCCCCCCCCCAGCGGGGGATGGGGAGGATGATTCCTGTTTGAGATTTAGGAATTTCTACTGCCAAAGGGATTTTAATTTTAGTTCAGCCCAACTGTCCACCAGTCTGCAGTGCAGGAAAAAGGGACGGGCTGTTTGCATGTGGCAAGATCTGCCCAGCTCCGGGAAGATGGAGTTTGCGGAGGCTCACCGAGGCCATTTTTCCATCGTCAGCTGGGGAACTTTTTCCGCCCATGGAAGTGCAGCAGAAAGGCATCGAGGCCACTAGGCCTTGAGAATTGGCTGCCATTTTGAAGATAAGAGTCAAATGGCCTATAAACTCCGATTAATTGCTGTTTTTGGATTCCAGGTTGATGCTGGCCCAGGATGGATCAGACCTGTGAAGTATCTAGAAGAAATTGTCTGCTGCCCTTTTCCAATCCAGTGAATTTAGATGCCCCTGAAGACAAGGACAGCCCTTTCGGTAATGGTCAATCCAATTTTTCTGAGCCACTTAATGGGTGTACTATGCAGTTACCGACTGCCAGTGGAACATCCCAAAATGCTTATGGACAAGATTCTCCATCTTGTTACATTCCACTGCGGAGACTACAGGATTTGGCCTCCATGATCAATGTAGAGTATTTAAATGGGTCTGCTGATGGATCAGAATCCTTTCAAGACCCTGAAAAAAGTGATTCAAGAGCTCAGTCGCCAGTTGTTTGCACTTCTTTGAGTCCTGGTGGTCCAACAGCACTTGCTATGAAACAGGAACCCTCTTGTAATAACTCCCCTGAACTCCAGGTAAAAGTAACAAAGACTATCAAGAATGGCTTTCTGCACTTTGAGAATTTTACTTGTGTGGACGATGCAGATGTAGATTCTGAAATGGACCCAGAACAGCCAGTCACAGAGGATGAGAGTATAGAGGAGATCTTTGAGGAAACTCAGACCAATGCCACCTGCAATTATGAGCCTAAATCAGAGAATGGTGTAGACGTGGCCATGGGAAATGAACAAGACAGCACACCAGAGAGTAGACACGGTGCAGTCAAATCGCCATTCTTGCCATTAGCTCCTCAAACTGAAACACAGAAAAATAAGCAAAGAAATGAAGTGGACGGCAGCAATGAAAAAGCAGCCCTTCTCCCAGCCCCCTTTTCACTAGGAGATACAAACGTTACCATAGAAGAGCAATTAAACTCAATAAATTTATCTTTTCAGGATGATCCAGACTCCAGTACCAGTACATTAGGAAACATGCTAGAATTACCTGGAACTTCATCATCATCTACTTCACAGGAATTGCCATTTGTAAGCAGTTTTTGGTACAACTTAAATATATACATAAATGTATATATACAGGCAACTTAAAGAGAAACATAACTAATTGGTTTTTGGTTGCTTATCAGTTCATGGCTGAGAGCCTATTGCTAATGATAGGCTTTTTGGGGAAATTTTACTTTGATTTTTAAATTTATCTCCGTTGTATGAGTTTGCTTCTTTTCCCAATTAACTTTCCTTTGAGGACTGGCTAAGAGTTAGAACTTTAAGGGCATTTGATTGAGTTCAGATTTTATTTTTCAAATGGAGGTATACATTTGTTTAGGTTTTTTTTTTCATTTTTAAATGCTTTGGCTTGCTGGTATCATGAGTATAGGTGGACCAATTAATTTCCTGGAGTCCTTTTTTTTTAGTTGATGGGGTGACTCTTGCTTCAGTTTGGAGTGCATTTGGGTACAAATTGAAAGTAGCTAAGATGAGAAGACCTTCTTGGATGGACATCAGTCAAAATTTAAATTAGGCCAGTTTTTCTGAACTACCTGTTGTGAAGGTATAGCATCCTATGCTTTAGATAAATGTCACCATCAGAGTAGGCTCTTGAGCCTTTTCTAGTTTTTAGTTTTAAAGTTTATGTATGTATACGTGTGTGGTATGTGTACGTGTATAGAAATAGAAAATCTAATTTGAGTTGTTCAGTAGTGCTGTGTACTGTTGTTAAAGAGTTGTAAATGATGAAGTTCCTTTTTATTCGATCTTTTGCAGAATTTCTTGATCAGTTAGCATAATGATCAGTTGACTTCTTTTAGTCTCTGTTTCATCACCTTTAAAATCAAACTTCTTGATTGTTAAAAAAAATATCCCTCAGCTTTAAATACTTGATTCTAATTTTGTTTCTGTTCAGATGTATTGTTAGGTCATCTGTAGTGTCACCACAGAAGATCTCCCCACCCCATGATGACTCTGAATCTTTAAGGTTTTAATCAAAAAATTTTATGTAGTGATCGTTTTGAGTGCATTAAACATTCAAGGCTATCAATAGCCTTGATGTTCTTTAAAGCCACAGAGAATGTGGGTGTGTCGCTTTTGTTTGTTGATTTATATATGAAATATTCTTTAGTACTCCTTGGTTTCTTAACTTGGCAGTTGCAGATTGTAAAAATTTGTTTTGGTGGTTACCTTGAGTCTGTATTGTCCTAAGTATTTTTTTAGGGTGGCTAGGCTGTGTTGGCAGCCTCTTGGCAGCTTAGACAAACCCTTTTTCTTGGGTTCACATTGAAGTTATTTTACATGTATAGTTTTTTGCCTTTGTATTTACATAGAACCCTAGGTCTAACAGTGAAGATAGATAATCCTCTAGAAGCATATATATAGAAATATAAATCTGTTTGTTTCTCATCAAAAGAGATGTCAGTGGAGTATTGGCTCTGTTATAAAGAATTGAAATTATTGGAGCCTATGGACAGTATGTTAGGTATCTAAACTGGGAGTTAGAAAACTTGTATAAATAGAATTTTTTTTTCTGACAAAGTCTAAATTTGCTTAAAGACTTTATGGGCTTGAAGAGGCAAGTAACCTGTTTATTTTAGGCCTCTGGGTTAAGATTGTGGGTGCAATCTATAGCTTTGATTTTTGCCTTTGATATTTTTTTTTTTAATTTTTTTTTTGAAGATTTTTAATTTATTTATTTGACAGAGAGAGACACAGCAAGAGAGGGAACACAAGCAGGGGGAGTGGGAGAGGGAGAAGCAGGCTTCCCGCGGAGCAGGGAGCCCGATGCGGGGCTCGATCCCAGGACCCTGGGATCATGACCTGAGCCGAAGGCAGACGCTCAAAGACTGAGCCACCCAGGCACCCCTGCCTTTGATATTTTTTAACTGAAGATTTGAAAAAGTTAAATCAGTCTGAGAATGCAAATTCAGTTGAACAATATAGCTTGGGAAAGGTGTAATTAAAAGTAATTCTATATGATCACACACTATTAATACATACAGACCACAGTTGATACATGAGGTATAGAGCACTTACTCTGCATTAGATTCTATGCTCAGGGCGGGAAATTTTACTTTTTTATGATTTATTTTTTTGAGAGAGAGAGAGCATGAGCGAGCACAAGTGAGCGCACGAGCAGAGGCACAGAGGGGTGGAGGGAGAGGGAGAGATATCCCAAGCAGACTCAGCACTGAGCAGTGGAGCCCAATGCGCGGCTTGATCTCAGGACCTGAGATATGACCTGAGCCGAAACCAAGAGTTGGTTTCTCAACTGACTGAGCCACCCAGGCTCCTCAGGGCTGGAAATTTTAGAAAATCATTAGCAAATGCTGTTTGTCTTTTTGTTCTGTGATATTACGATAGAATCAGATTCTCTTATGTGACAGTAAGAGTAGTTCTTAGGATTATATACTCCCTGTCTAGAATTAGAGAAAGACACATGATTCAAGATCATATTGTCTGTTGTCTTGTATATCTAGCTATAAGCAGACTGTTTGCCTCCTGTCATAAATAAGCAGTCTCATCAGTTTATCCTTACGTGCTTTTTTTTTTTAAGATTTTATTTATTTATTTGAGAGAGAGAGAGCACAAGTAGGAGGGGAGGGGCAGAGGGAGAAGCAGACTCCCCGCTGACCAGGAACCCTGACGCTGGTCTCTATGCCAGGACCCCAGGATCATGTCCTGAGCCCAAGACAGACACTTAACCACCTGAGCCACTCAGGCTCCCCCCTTATATGCTTTTAAATTATTTTGTTTGAATGTAATGATGTGAAATGATTGTCATAGTCAGTAGTCCTGACTTGATGCTTTTATATTTAATTGGGTTGGCACCTTCTAATTCTTGCCACTGAACATATATAGTGTACAGTGCTTCGTAATATATAGGTGCTTAATAAAATATTGAAGGAAGGTTGGTCTCAGAGCTACAAGTTTAAACAGGCAGTAACTTACAGCTTATTAAGTGCTTTGGTCTGTGTTGTCTCATTGGGTCTTCATAGCCTTGTAGTAAAAAGAGATGTCATAAATGACATAGGTCTTCTTCAAGGCACTTGAGATTATTAGAGACAAGACTAAAACCCTTGAAATCAGAATTATCTCAGTACTCTTGGTTTTCTGTAGGGACTTCTGATTGTCTGACACTCTTGGCTGGGCCTGGTTTACTCATTAGGCTGATTTGTAGCAGTTACTTGTTTTATACTCTTCCCTTACTTACATATTTTATGGAGATTTTATACTATGGTGGCATCCATGAATTTAGGGATTGTCAAAACTTTTAGGATGTAGGTAGCTCAGGCTTGTCTGATGTACATATTATACTCTTTATTTAAAGAAGATCACTGAAAATGAATCCACTTACAATGGGGGCAAAAATTTCATAATAAGGAGAAAAGGGTTTACTTAGGATTTTATTTTATTTATTTTTTTAAAGATTTTATTTATTTGACAGAGAGAGACACAGCAAGAGAGGGAACACAAGCAGGGGCAGTGGGAGAGGGAAAAGCAGGCTTCCTGCAGAGCAGGGAGCCAGACACAGGGCTCGATCCCAGGACCCTGGGATCATGACTTGAGCTGAAGGCAGACGCCCAGTGACTAAGCCGCCCAGGCGCCCCCAGCTTTGCTTTTCATTTTCAGGATTGCTCCTGTCCTATTATTGTCCATTGTCATTTGTTTACTGGTTGTCATTTGTTTACATCTAGGTACTCAACCTAGATCATCCTTTCCTTGCCTATAATCAGAGTGGTTTTTCTTTATTTACATTGACTTTAAGAGACACAGCATCTTGGGGCGCCTGGGTGACTCAGTCGGTTAAGCGTCTGCCTTTGGCTCGGGTTGTGGTCCCGGGGTCTTGGGTTCGAGCCCTGCATCAGGCTCCCTGATCAGTGGGGAGCCTGCTTCTCCCTCTCCCTCTGCCTGCTGCTCCCCCTGCTTGTATTGCTCTCTCTCTCTCGGTCTAATAAATAAATAAAATCTTAAAAAAAGAAAGAAACAGCATCTTTTCACCAGATTTGTTTGCAATTTTAACTGTAATTGGCAGTATAATATTAGTTCTTTCATTAGGTGGAAATAGACACTATATTGTCCATAGGAAGATGTTTCAGTGGAGACTTTTTTTATTTTTTACTTTTTAAAAGATTTTATTTATTTGAAAGAGAGCGAGAGCACAAGCAGGGGGCAGAGGGAGAGAGAGAAGTAGGCTCCCTGCTGAGCAGGGAGCCCGAGTCAGGGCTCGATTCCAGGACCTCGGGGATCATGACCTGAGCCGAAGGCAGATGCTTAACCGACTGAGCCACCCAGGCTCCCCTGGAGACTTTTTAAAAAAAGATTTATTTGTTATAGAGAGATCACACACCTGCTGGGGTGGCGGGTGAGGGGAGGGACAGAGGGAGAGAGAGAGAATCTCGAGTACACTCCCCACTTTGCTTGGAGGAGCCATGACTCATGGCTGGATCTCATGACCCTGAGGTCATGACCTGAGCTGATACCAAGAGTGGGATGCCTCTGAATGGAGACTTTTTTGCTATTTAAAAATAGATATTTTGGGGGCACCTGGGTGCCTCAGTCAGTTAAGTGTCTTCCTTCGGCTCAGGTCCTGGGATCGAGCCCCGCCGTCGGGCTCCCTGCTCAGGGGAGAGCCTGCTTCTTCCTCTCCTCCCCACTCATGCTTTCTCTCACTATCTCTGTCTCTCTCTCAAATGAATAAATAAAATCTTTAAAAATATATAAAAATAGGTATTTTGGTGTTTTAACAATCCCATACAATCTTGGGGATTCATAAAATACTCAAAAATCACCCCCTGTACTGAGTTCTGTGCTGTGGATGATTAAGTGGTTAAAGAGATGAGTGGAGAGATGAGTGAAACCTAGAGTAGTCAAGCTTCAAGGAAGAAGTGGAACTTGAATTGGTCTTGGTTGGGTTTGGCTAGGTTTAGAAAGGTACTTTGGATGTGGAGAATTAAGTGAATGTAGTATTGGGGCGCCTGGGTGGCTCAGTTGGTTAAGCGACTGCCTTCAGCTTGGGTCATGACCCTGGAGTCCCAGGA